CACAGCACTCTACCAAGGTCAACAAAGTGAGTCTCTGTCTCTAAAAAAGAAAAAGAAAGAAATCCCGGCTTGGTCCCCTTAGCTCAGTGGTTAGGGCACCAGCCACATACACTGGGGCTGGCCTGTTCAAACCCAACCCAGGCCTGCAAAACAACAATGACAACTGCAACAAAAAATAGCCGGGTCTTGTGGCAGGTGCCTGTAGTCCCAGCTACTTGGGAGACTGAGACACGAGAATCATTTAAGCCTGAGTTGGAGGTTGCTGTGAGCTGTGACGCCACAGCACTCTACCAAGGGCAACAAATGAGACTCTGTCTCAGAAAAATAAGAAATTCCTTCCAGAAAGTGGCACTGAAGGTTGCACAGCTATGAGCAAATATTTACATGTGTTTACTCTTTACCCTGTATAGAAATTCCTAGAAATAAGGATCATATCTTCTCTCTGAAAGGTCAGAGTCACTTACTTATCCCACTGTTATCCTGATTTCTTTACTTCTCAGAGAATTCCTCCAAGTAATACCACTACGTCTGTAACCTGTGATTCCTTCTCTCTCTCATAGGCTGATATAGCAGCAGTAAGTAGCTCAGGATCAAAAGTCAGAAGTTCCAAGTTCTAGTTCCAGTTCTTGTACCAACTAACTATGGAACTTTGGGCAAGCCACTTACATTTACCCAGCTTTAGTTTTGCCATTTGTGCAAGGGTATTGAGATCTAACACTGTAATTCTTCTTATTTTCTATGTAGACTCAGAAGAAGATAGATCAGACTGGATTGAGAAAGCACAAAGAAGGAATTAACCTAACTGTTAACACATTTGCTGGCCACAGATTTGAACAGCTGTTACTTTTTTGTTCAGACTCGAATTTTTTTTTTTTTTTTTGCAGTTTTTGGCCGGGGCTGGGTTTGAACCTGCCACTTACAGCATATGGGCTGGTGCCTACTCCTTTGAGCCACAGGTGCCACCCAAAATTATTTTATTATTACCACTTTGTCATATCGTTTTCTTTTTTGAGACTTTGTCACCCAGGTTGGAGAGCAGTTGACACGATCACCGCTCACTGTAGCCTTGAACTCCTGAGCTCAAGCAATCCTCCCATCTCAGCCTTCTGTGTAGCTGTGACTATAGGTACATCACCATGTCCAGCTAATTTAAGAAAAACTTTTCATAGAGATAAGGTCTCACTATGTTGCCCAGGCTGGTCTCAAACTCCTGGCCTCAAGTGAGCCTCCTGCCTTGGCCTTCCAAGTAGGTGGAATTACAGACATGAGCCACAACACCTGGCCTGTAACATCTTTGTTGAGATATAGTTCACATATCATAAAAGCCAATCATTTAAAGTATACATTTTGGTGGTTTTAAAACCATTTTCAAAATTGTGCATCTGTCACTACAATCTATGTTTAGAACATTTTCACCAGGCCAGGTGAGGTGGCTCAGACCTGTAATCCTAGCACTTTGGGAAGCTGAGACAGGTGGATCATCTGAGCTCAGGAGTTCAAGATGAGCCTGAGCAAAAGCAAGACCCTGTCTCTAGAAAAACTAGACATTGTGGTGGATGCCTGTAGTTCCAGCTATTCCAGAGGCTGAGGCAAGAGGATTACCTGAACCCAGGAGTCTGAGGTTGCTGTGACCTATGATGACGATGATGCCTACCCAGGGTGACAGAGTGAAACTCTGTCTCAGAAAAAAAAAGAATATTTTCATCATCACAAAAAGAAACTTTGTATCTTTTATGGTCACTCCTCATCACTACCCCCATGCCTCAACGGTAGACGCGACTCGTGGATTGCCTATTATGGATATGTCACATAGATGGAATCATACAATATGTGTCCTTTGTGACCCGCTGCTGCTTTGACTTATGTTTTCAAGGCATAACATGAATTAGTGCTTCATTTTGATGGGTAGATAATATTCCATTGTATTAATAGACTACATTTTGTTTTTGTATTTATCTTTTTTTTTTTTTTTTGAGACGGAGCCTCAAGCTGTCCCCCTGGGTAGAGTCCTGTGGCCATCACGCTCACAGCAACCTCCAACTCCTGGGCTCAAGTGAGTCTCCTGCCTCAGCCTCCCAAGTAGCTGGGACTACAGGCGCCCACCACAACGCCTGGCCATTTTTTGGTTGCAGCCATCATTGTTGTTTGGTGTGCCTGGGCTGGGGATTCGAACCCGCCACCTTAGGTGTATGTGGCTGGCGCCTTAGCCACTTGAGCCACAGGTGCCGAGCCTGTTTTTGTATTTATCAATTAATAAATATTTGGAGTGCTACTACCATTTAGTTATTATGAATAATACTGGTGTGAACATTCATTTACATGGACATATGGTTTGAACTTTATGTTGGCCATAGGAGACACTCTTTAGATCCAAAGATACAAATAGTTTGAAAACAAATGTATGGAAAAAATATATACTGTTAATTCATTCACATGTAATATTATTCATGCAATTGGATATACATATGCCATTTTGTTTTGATTTTCTGTTATGTCTGATGTTTTTCTGTTTCTCTGTTCCTCTTTTCTACATTCTTCTGTAGCGCATGGATTCTTTTTTTTTGAGACAGAGTCTCACCTTGGGTTGAGTGCTGCAGCATTTTCACAGCGTACAGAAACCTCAAACTCTTGGGGTCAAGCCATCTTCTTATCTCAACCTCTGGAGTAGCTGGGACTACAAGCACTCACCACAACACCCGGCTCATTTTTCTTTTTTTTTGTAAAGATGTGATCTTATTCTTGGCTTAGGCTGGTCTCAAACCCCTGAACTCAGGTGATCCACCTGCCTTGGCCTCCCAGAGTGCTGGTATTATAGGTATAAGCCTCACATGGATGTTTTATAGTGAACCATTTAAAATCCTTTAATGATTTTGTGTGTGTGTGTGTATGAGAGAGACAGAGTCTCAGTCTGTCACCCTGGGTAGAGTGCATGGTGTTTGTCATAATAGCTCATAGCAACCTCAAACTCTTGGGCTCAAGTGATCCTCCTGCTTCAGCCTCCTGAGTAGCTGGGATTGCAGGCTACAACGCCTGGGTAATTTTTTTATTTAATGTAAAGATGGATTCTCACTCTTGTTCAAGTTGGTCTTGAAGTCTTGGACTCAGTGATCCTCCCACCTCAGCCTCCTGGAGTTCTAGGATTACAGGCATGAGCCACTGTGCCCACCCTTGATGGTGGTTCTGCTATCCATTAATGGATAGCAAACAACAGAAGAGAGAGAACAGATTTGGAGAGAAAGATAATAAAATTAATTATGAACAAGTTGACTCTGAAATGTCTACAGTCTCAACTAAGGTAGAGATGATTTTCAAGAATCAATGCAAATGCAGGATCTGGAGGTCAGCAGCCTCTGTCAAATTTACCAACCAGACATATATTATCTTAGATATATTATTTAATGTAATACTTTAGATACATCCATGAGGTAGGTATTGTTTTTGTCATAGCCTTTTTGTGACAGGGTAGAGTTTAAAGGGAAACAAAGGAGCCACAAAATGGAATTCTAAGGAAGCCAACATTTCCAGAGTGAATTAAACAAGAGGACATTGTCAAAGGAATTGAAAAAGAATGTTCAGAACTATTTAAAAATTATAAGTAGGCCAGCCTGAGCAACATAGTAAGACCCAATTTCTGCCAAAAAATTAACAAAAAAATTAGCCAGGCATGATGGAGGGAGCCTAGAGTCCCAGCTGCTCTGGAGGTTGGGGCATGAGGATTGCACAATCCCAGGAGTTTGAGGTTGCTTTGAGCTATAACACCTTGGCACTTTACCCAGGGTGACAGAGTGAGACTATGTCTCAAAAAAAAAAAGAGGATCACTTGTGCCCAAGAGTTTGAGGTTGCAGTGAGCTGTGATAACATCACTGCACTCCAGCCCTGGCAACAGAGTGAGACATTTTCTAAAAAAAAAAAAAAAAAAGATTAAAAGTATAGTATCTCAGAAGTTAGGATATAAAAAGAATTCTATTCCACAAGGTTGCAGATTATCATGGAGGATGAGGGTTTGTGATTAGAGGTTACCAGGGATTTTACAGTACTTCTCTATAAAGAGAAGTTAGACTGCAGTGTATCAATGAGTGAGGTGGGGCTCGGCGCCTGTGGCTCAAGCGGCTAGGGCGCCAGCCACATACACCTAAGGTGGCGGGTTCGAATCCCCAGCCCGGGCCCACCAAACAACAATGATGGCTGCAACCAAAAAATGGCCAGGTGTTGTGGCGGGCGCCTGTAGTCCCAGCTACTTGGGAGGATGAGGAAGGAGACTCACTTGAGCCCAGGAGTTGGAGGTTGTTGTGAGCTGTGATGCCATGGCACTCTACCCAAGGGGACAGCTTGAGGCTCTGTCTCAAAAAAAAAACAAAAAACAAAGAGTGAGGTGGAAGATGAGGAGGTGGAAGCAAAGGCTATGGGCTACTTTTCCAAAAGTTTTGCAAAGTAGAAATAAAAAGACCTTATACACGAGTAATAAATTTCTTAATATTGTTTTTAATTAATAGATTAATCTGTATTACTTGGATTTTATACTTTTACCTTTTCTCCAGTTCTTTCTTTCTTTCTTTCTTTTTTTTATTTTGAGACAGAGTCTCACTCTGTTGCCCTGGATAGAGTGCCATGGCTTCATAGCTCATAGCAACCTCAAACTTTTGGGTTTCAGCAATCCTCATGCCTCAGCCTCCCCAGTAGCTGGGACTACAGGTGCCCATCACAACCCCTGGCTAGCTTTTTCCATTTTTAGTAGAGACAGGGTATTGCTCTTGCTCAGGGGCTGGTCTAGAGCTCCTGAGCTCAAGCAACCACCTGCCTTGGCCTCCCAATCTCTGGTTACTTCTTTTTTTTGGCTGGGGCTGGGTTTGAACCTGCCACCTCTGGTATATGGGGCCAGTGCCTTACTCCTTTGAGCCATAGGCACTGCCCTCCGGTTACTTCTTTCTACCCCATTATACCAGTATTCTGTCCCAAGTCTCACACACTTGGAAGCATCAAATGTTGTGTTTTTTTTGGTTGTAAATGACTTGTTTTATTTGGTTATGCATTTTGAATGCCTCAGGTGATTCTGTCTGTTTTTGGAGGATGGGCTACCTACCCCAACTCCATCATCTCTTATTGACAAAGTAGATAACCATTAGCTTCTCAGACCAATTCAACACATTATGCAAGTTCTTAGGTCCTTAGCAAACCAAGTACCTTGTCCACCTAGCCTCCCTACTTCATACTTCCCATCCCTCAAACCTCTGGGAGGCAGACCTGGAAGAAGAAAGGAGCTGTCACTCCAAACCTCCTGGGATGTGGTGTCCCCATAAGGAAGTCTGGCTTCATAGTGAGCTGAAACCTTCCCTTGCCAACGCCGTCAGTCCAGCCCATTCTCAGATGGGGCTGGAGAGTAATCAACATTGCCGTCCACCTGTGCACAGGAAGATGCCTACAGCCACAGCAGCGATGATGAAACTGCCCACCAGGATACCCAGGACCAGTGAAGTGTAGGATCGACCTGAATGGCTCCCTGCAGGATGTGGAGAGAGTTAGCCTGAAGGACATACCCCTCAAGGCATCCATGATTTGAGACAAACGCCAAGGATTTCTGCCCCAAAAGGAAAGGGTCCCGTTTACCAGCTTTAACTTAAGCTGTGTGTACTCTGCCCCAAAGCCCCAGCTATGGGATTATTGCTCAGGTGTCAGTCCATTAGTCTGAAACCTGCCACCTCCCGCACAGGCCTGGCCTAGTTCCATCATCATACCTTTCATGTTTTTCAAGGTGATGTGGTTCTGTACGTACTGCACGCAGGTGTCCTGCAGGAATTCTCGCAGTTCGTATCGAGTACGATTGTAGGTGTTGAGCTGCTTCAAGGTGTAGTTGGCCACTGTAGAGGGAGCCTGGGTGTCTGCCTCCCACAAGGCTGTCTCTGGCTGGAAACTCACAAAGGCGCTCCCATTCACAGCCACTTGGAAGAAGACGTGGGCTCTAGAGCCCTCAGGAGGCAGCTCACAGCCCAGGAAGCAGTGGATGGTCAGAGGAACTGTGGATGGGGATTCAGGGTTAGGGGCCTCTATGGAGAGTGTGCTAGGTGTTGGGGGATGCCCACTCCCAGGAAAAGAGCATGGTAGGGGCCCGGGAGGTGAGCAGCAGTAGCTGCGAGGAGAGGGGAGTCTGAGTCAGGGAACTGTGAGGAGAAGGGCACAGGGGCTTAGGCAGAGGCTTGAGGTTAGACTGTTGGAGGCTATATAAGGAGAATAGGGACGATGATGACAAAGGGGGACTATAAGAGAAAGGAGTTGGGGTCCCTGAGGGAGGGAAGTGGGGGTTGTGGGGGGAGCTGTGAGCAAAGTCATGGGCCTCCCGGAAGAAGTGGTAGCTGGGCTCGGCACCTGTAGCTCAGCAGCTAGGGAGCGAGTCACATACACCAGAGCTGGAGGTTCGAACCCAGCCTGGGCCAGGTAAAACAACACTAACTATTGCAGCAACAATAGCAAAAATAGCTGGGCGTTGTGGAGAGTGCCTGTAGTCCCAGCTACTTGGGAGGCTGAGACAAGAAAATATAACTTAACTCTTGTTAAGCCCAAGAGTTTGAGGTTGCTGTTAGCTATGATGCCATGGCAGTCTACCCAGGGCGACAGCTTGAGACTCTGTCTCAAAAAAAAGAAGAAGCGCTAGCTGGAGGGTTGAGGGTAAAGTGTGGGCAGGAAAAGAACGGGGTCTATCAGAAAAGGAGTTGGAGGAGTGGAGTCTGCAAGGAACCCTCGGGGGTCAGGGCGAGTCAGGGTCGGATCCTCTCCACAGGATCAGCCCTGAGAGGTTACGCCAGCAGAAAGAAACTAGGACACCCACTTCTCTCTAGCTCCCACTCAGCTATCTTCAAGGGGGCCAGGAGCACACACGACACGCCCCTACACAAAGATCCCGCCCCTTTCCCCGCCCAGGACACGCCTCCAGCGCTAAGGCCCGCCCTGGCCCCGCCCTGGCCCCGCCCTGACCCACTCACACGCCAACCCCCGCTCCTGGTGCACTAGCCGCACGAGGCCGTGGAAGTCGCTCAGATAGGACTGCAGGTGGGTCTCCCTGAGCTCCCAGCTCTCGGGATCCTGCAGAGACTGTAGCTGGCGGATCGTGACGTTGGTGTCCGGGCCTTCCAGCACGTGTGTCAGGTGTCCCCCCAGCGACGCGTTGCCTTGGTACCACACGTTGTTGGGGTCGCTGAAGTAGGAGATCTGGAGCATGCGGAGGCTCTGGAGCCCTGAGGGGTAGAGTCAGCGTCAGTCTGGGCCCGCGTGAGAGCGAGCGGCAGGCCGCGGGAGATAATAACCCCCTACCCAGAGGCTGGCCGCCACCTTCTGGACCCTTCATAAACTATAAAGTGCCCAAGTGCCTCCCACTGCTCCCTCAGTCTGACGCTCACAGTAACCCTACGGGGGGGG